GACGAAGAAAAAATTGTCATCGCAGGAGAAAGTTACTTAAACAAAAATATTAAGTTATATAAGAGAATGTAAAGAAAGGTAATACTTTTATTATTTGTACTGAAACATAGACTGATACTTGGCACGTATTTGTTGTTTCATTTTCCAAGAAAAACTTTTACACCTTGAGATGGACTAGTTAAGGACTGAAAATTTGAAAAAATGATGGTTTCCAAAGTTTTTGGAGCTATGTCCTTTTATTTTTGTTTTAATTTTATCTTGGAAATGTTATCATGCTAAAGTATAAGAGTAATACTTATAAAGAAATAGGTAAATTCAAACACACTAATCATGTACGATTGATGAAGTTTCCACTGTGTGGATATTAAATTGCGTTACAAAGCGTTAAGAGGCAGTGAGTTTATTGTTAGTTCTGAATCTGTAATTTATTCTAATTGTCAATCACCAGTTATATAATTCTACAAATAGTTCAGCAAATATCCTTACCCTCGGGGTTTCAAACTTCAATGAATTCTTCCTAAAGTCGTAGACTTTATAAATACGTTCTGCAGACAATGAATGGAAACAATTGCAGAAACAAACACCTCCCTAAGATAAACGACAAATTTTACTACTGGATATCAGTATGCATTACAAACATGAATTAAAGTATGATACAGCCACAGTATTGAACATTGGTCGAAGATATTTTTTATTTTAGTGATAGTTAACCCACATTCTGAAAAAGCATAAACTCATGCAAACAGTGAAAATAAACGTGAACAGAGCTATCCAGTAACCAAGGAAACATATCCAATTACTACTTGTACCAAGAAAAGAAGACGATTATGCATTTAAGGTACTTTCAGGGTCTCTTGTTGAAGTTAACAACTGAGGTTCATATAATTTTCGTCTAAGTTAAATCCAAAGAGTGGAATAATAGTTCTGAGAATTTAAATCACTGTACACCTCAAACTCCTCCGAAGCTATGAGAAGAAAAGATATTTTAACAATGTGATATCAGCATTTCATCAGCTTTTATGTCATTCGTCAAGTTATGCTAAAGTTTTACAAAGCTGCCACTGATAATTACTGAAATCATGTAATTTGTATTCGTTTCACAAGATATGCTGAGGCTAACTCCACATTAAATCAGTTTATTTATTAACAGAAAACACATTGATCGCTATTACTCATTGAAACATATTCACCTACTGTGGAATTACATTCCACGACACTGTCCAATTTCTTCTCTTATATTAATACAGTGATTGTATAAAACGAGAAGAAATTATCTTCGGGAGTTTGCTGACTAGGAGAGGGAATGGTGAAAGAGAAAATGATTCAATGCAAGGACGGACAGGAGAAGGAGACGATGAGCTCAACTTACAAAGCACTGGACAAAGAAATGAAGAGTGCTAGGAAGGACAAAAGACGATTCTACGACAATCTAGCTACTGAAGCTGAAAAGGCAGCAGGCAAAAGGGACCTGAGGACACTATATCAGATAACCAAATCTCTATCCGGGAAGAGACCAACACAAGCGAAACCTATAAAAGACAGCCAAGGAAACCCAATTACCAAGGAAGAAAAACAGATTAAACAATGGGCGTATCACTTTAAAGGACTCTTGAACCGAACACCACCTGAAACCCGTCCAGAAATACCAACAACTGCACGTACACAACTGCAAGTTGACACCAATCCTCCAACGAGAGCTGAAGTCTTGAACGCAATCAAGCTTCTGAAAGCTAGAAAAACAGCCGGACTAGATGGAATACCCCCTGAAGCACTGAAAGCAGACCCAGAGACGACAGCAGACATGCTGACTCCATTATTGCAAAAGGTCTGGAAGGAGGGAAAGGTGCCTACTGACTGGAGGAAAGGTTACCTCGTGAAACTACCAAAGAAGGGCGACTTACGCATCACTCTGCAAGAACTGGCGAGGAATCATGCTCCTATCGACGCCAAGTAAAACCCTGAGTCGCATCATCCTGGAGAGAATAAAGGACGCACTGGAGACAGAACTCCGACCAGAACAAGCTGGATTCAGGAAAGGCAAATCATGTACTGACCAAATTGCAACTCTACGCATCATCATCACAGAACAAAGCATGGAATGGCATCAATCAAACCTCTACCTCAACTTTATACACTTTGAGAAGGCCTTCGACAGACAGCGTTGACCGTGAAGTAATTTGGAAATTACTCGAGTACTACGGCGTACCCCAAATATTCATCAACCTTATTCAACAGCTGTACGACAACGACACAGCGGAAAACTCAGTGAGGCGTTTGGAGTAAACACAGGAGTCAGACAAGGGTGCTTATTATCACCAGTGATATTCCTAACTGTGGTGGACTGGATTATGCATCAGACAATGGGAAACGAGAAGACAGGGATATTCTGGATCGACATGAAGAACCTAGAAGACCTGGATTTCGCGCGCGGATGGTTTATGTTTGATGTCACACAAAATCGAAGACTTACAAGCGAAAACCGACGAACTGGTCGAAGAAGCAACCAGGAGAAGACAGGACTCAAGGTGAACATAGACAAGATGGAGGTTATGAAAATAACGAACTAACAACAACAACAGCAGCAACATCCAGCGCCAATCACCATCAACGGGAGGGATTCGAAAGAGGTTACTTCATTCACTCACTTATCTAGGGAGCACTGTCTCAACTACAGGAAGTCGGAACGGACGAGGATGTCAAATCGGGCGAAAAACACACTCATCAACCTGAAATCAATCTGGAAATCTTCTTCACTCAGCATCAACAACAAAATCCAGTCAGATTTTCAATACAAACAGCGTTAAGTCAGTCAGTTCTTCTATACGGTGAGAAACTTGGTGGGCGGTTCACAAAGAATATTTCCAAAAGGTTGCAGACCTTTATTAACAACTGTCTCCGCTCTATACTGAAGATCAGATGGCCGGGCCTGGCCGGAAAGAATCACCAACAAGAAACTATGGCTGGAAAGAAACAAAACAAGAACGAATCACTCAACAAATATGCAGGAGAAAGTGGAGATGGATCGGACACTCTCTGAGGAGACCACTGGGTGACATCGCGCGTCAGGCCATTGCTCGAGTGGAACCCGAAAGGGAAGCACGCGGTGAGTGGAACGTCAGTGCAAGGGTGACATGGAGGAGATGGTGTGAAGAGGAGATGAAAGAGTACGGACTAACATGGATGCATGTGAAAAGTACAGCAGAAGACAGAAGAAAATGGAGGCGTGCAGTTGAAGCCCTATGTTCCACTAGGAACCCAAGGGATCAATAATAATAATAAAAGTATTTCTGATTGCCACCAAAGCTGTTAACACTGAAAGATGATTTTTTTAGTCGATATTTACACAAGACATCATACTAGTCAGGTATTCATATGATCTACAAACTTTGTATATTTATTCGCAGAAAGAAGGTTTTGCCTGCAGACAAATTATCATTGGTAATCATTTTATTATTACTAAAAGACAAGTCAGTAATCTAGAATTATAATGTTTAAGTTAATTTAAACTTAGCTAAACCACAAACAAACATGTTAGAATGTCTTACGGTTCGGTCAGACGTTTTTCTGTGGAATTGAAGTATTCAGAAGAAAACAGCAAATAAAAGTATTTGAATGAAATGCACACAGACAGAGAGTTGTATCCGCACTTAACATAAACCTAAAGAAAAGAACTTAATTCAGAGAAGAAGAATTTCAACTGGTATTTGCATTTGTCATTATGGTTAGAAAAAATTAAGTCATGTTGCGACATGAAAACTTTGTTGTAAAAATACAATTTTATTTAGTTTTTCTCCTCCCTTAGTGAGTAAATATGTATCTTTAATTTAAGAAAGTTTATACAACAATTCAAAAAGCTTGCACATTGATGTAATTTATATTATCAAAATTAATAAATTGTATATCACTGTTGTACCACTGAGGTGATTTAGAATTTAATATTTAATGTGGCAGTAACCACCAACTGTACAATGACGTCACATCTTCAGCCTTTTTATACAGGTGATCTAACTCTCCAGAAATCCAAAATGTGTTCTGAGCCGTTCTTTCTAAGTGTATTTCGTAGTAATGCAACAGTAATCTCATATAAAGCATTGACAATATATTATCTGCATATTTCCTTGGAAATGCTAACCGAGCCACATAATTACTGAAACTGGTAATCCTGAATAATAATAACAGTGGCCTTGTCTAAATGCTAAGCGCACACTTGATATGCTAGAAATTAGCACTTTATATGTCAATAACCTCATGTTCAAATATCAATGCTCAAAGAATATGAAACAGTTTTCATTCTCGTCGCGAGCTATGAGTATTCTGTACAATCTCCTTTCTATGTATTACTTCGATCTCTAGGACCTTGATTCGAACAAAACTGGAAAGCTGTAGACTGAACATCTAAGGATTATATGGGGGAAGATTATGTGTAGAAAAAATTGAAGCTTGTGAACAGTCTTGCAGCCAGCTAAAAAGTTAGAGCGAATAACTGAATGCATAAGAGTTGTGTCACCGACTTCCTACGTCTCACTCGAAACGTAAAGAACTAATAAAAGAAACTGAATGTACTGTAACCCTAAATTCATCCCTGGTTTGAATAGCTTCTAACTTCAAGGCATTTCTGCTTAAACATCCATAAAAGTAAGGGAACTGTTGTAAAACGACATACCTAACTGATGCCGTCAGAAATATAATGGTACTATCTGACGCAAAGCTTTCTTTTTGGCTTAATGCTACAAATTTAAGACAACTCGGCCTGCATAAATAAAAGCTATACATCTCAGTTTATATGGCTGCCAAATTAAATTTTGTTCACTTGTTTATTTTCATATCACAACACTCCAGTGTTTTCTATGAGATTCAGAATATTTCTTTTACAAGAATGTTAAATCATAATTTTAGCCTGCTTAACACTTTTATTGCTGTGATTTTCAAATAATTATTAGCTTATGAAATTAAAACAGTGTACTATGTATGAATAGAATGACTCATGACTCATCAATTTCTCTATGACATTCTATTTCAATCGATCGACTTAAACAAGTCTCTTCATAGGTTTGACAAAAATGAAACAATGAACTCACCAATGTTCACATTTTTTTTAAAAAAAAACGTTTATTTGTTCACAACATTAACGACTTTTTGATCATCATTTCACTCATCAGAAAGCAACAAAAAGGTGTTTGTGTGTCAGTGTTTCTTTCCTCTTATTCTTTTCGCATGATGACAACAGGAGAAAGAAGAAAACATGCCCGAAATGATGATTTATGAAGCAAATAATACAACTAATACAAATATTAAACTGAAAGTAATCGCTAAGTGTACAGCTAGGAGAAAATACTTGACAATCCATAACTGAAATGTAAAGAAAGAAGAAACACGAGACAATTTCAGCATTATACCAAAAACAAAAAGGACGAGCAGCTGAACAATTCGTTTCTTGACTGATTAAAACTGCCCATTAAAATTTTCAAAAGAATGGATACTGAACAAAGACTACACTTTTCGATAAATTCATCATCAGGCTCTACAGTTATATATACATTATAGTGGATGAATGAATTAGTGTTATGAACAAGGTTAACGTTTAAATAACATCGAATCAATAATATTGATGGATTACAGCTCAATAGCATCAACATAAAATAAGCTGAATGTCAGAAAAATTAGGAAAGATTCGCCTCAAACGACCAGCGCTCTGTGTTCAAAAGAAGCAAGTCCAGCCCCCACTATTGCACTGGCCTTCAGTAGAAACTAAAAACTCATGAATTTGTAATATTATCCTTCCTAATTCTTCTGATATTCAGTTTATTGGTATGTTGATGCGATTCGGCTGTATTCTGTCAATATTACTGATTCGATGTTATTTAAGCAACAATAATGTTGTTCACAACACTAATTCATTTATTCATTATAATGTATATATAACTGTAGAACCTGATGATGAAGTTATCGAAAAGAGTATTCTTTGTTCAGTATCCATTCTTTTGAAGATTCGTTTTTTTCCATGCAATTTCATGTTTAACTGTTCATTCTACCGATAAAGTAGTGTAATGTAGCATCAGGATTCGAGCAAGATAAAAAAAAATAACTAAGGTTAACTTGGGAACCGCAAAGACCACACAGTGATTAGTCACTTAAACTTGAATAACTGTTTCTATTTTTATTCATTCCAGTGTTGAACTATTTCAAGAGAGACTAAATGCAAGCTTCCTAGCCAGTTTGAACTATGAAATAACAAACTGCACTCCGTTTGTTGGTGACTTCCATTTCCTCGAAAAAGTGAATGATGCGGTTTGTTCTAGGGTGTTCTGCACATTTCCGTCGACTGTTCGGCTGTTCGAGTCATGACTATCCTCATATATATATATATATATATATATATATACTGAGAGTCTCGGACCATAAGTGTATTAATACTACATGAAAACAAACTTACATTGTGATTTTGAGTAATTTCTCTTGGTATATTTCTTAGATTCTTTAGGCTCTGTAAACAGAAACATCAGAATAACGCGTGGTTATAGGCTTGATAGTTGAAAAAGCGGCAGTTACTCCAGTAACGAATCGGACAAAGACGTTTCGTGGACGTATGTCTGTTTACTAAGCTCTTTTACTATCTTCAAAATGCACATCCACTGAGTGGACTAATGCTTTACTGTAAAGAAGTCAGTAATGTTCTTAGTCACCATTCGTGACAATTTTAGATTAGCCAAGTTAGCAGTAACTAACTAGAAATGGTCGCCGCCACATCTAATTTCCAGTAACTGAAATTAGTCGACCAGATACTATGGACCTTGATCGTTACACTGCGACTGATGAAAAGATAGGAAAACGAAATTTATGGCTTTCAGTAGACCACCTCTAAAACTAACTACAAGTGAAATGTTCCTTTCAGACTTAATATATAACTTAGTGTCAGATTCTGCTAATCGGAGGAAGGTTTGGGCATCACAGCACTAAAACACCCCAAGTGTTACTGAAACTTCAAAGCCTAAAGCACGAACTCGCGTGTTCTACTGGGGAAACAAAGAAATGAAAAATAATCATTTCATTTTAATGTTCTTCCTGAAATACCAACTGATAGGTGAATGCTCCGAATTTCTCCTCAACTAGACTATTAATTAAGAAGCAGTGGTGTAAACAATTTAACCAATTTTTAGTGATAAAAAAGCTAAGTCATAATCACTTGGGTAAAATACTTAAAGGGATTTTTTTTCACATATCAAGGCAAAGGTGACACCTACTACTGTAAAGGCAGAAGATATACCTTAGCGTCACAGGTGGAATGCGATTCAAACTCGAGATCCACTGGCTGTAAATCAAATACTAAAACCATACACTCCTGTCATCTATTTTCACAATTTCATGAGCATAAATTTACAGGCCTTTTGGTACATAATCTATCAAGTAGTACGTATTCAGTAGTATTAAGAATACAACTGACTTATAAATGGCTTTTGGTCAACGTACCGTATATTCCGAACTATGTCCTTCGAGGTACATGACATCATGTTTTGGATCCTAGAATTTAAAAAAAGTATATATATTTCAGCTTTTAGTTCTGTAAACAGTTCCTCAAACGAGTAAGGTATAATTTAAAAATTCCAGTCGCGTACATAAAACTAATTTCGAGTATCAAGAGTTAATTCACTGAAACTGGGTGTAGTTACTATTCAGAAACTAACATCGACCGCGATCTACGAAGTTTCAAGACAACTGCTTACCCCTTAAAGTCAGCGCATTTTGACACAACACATGAATAAACTTGTTTTCCAGTAAACTCAAATAAAGCTAAATACATGTATGACTAATTACCCTGTGATTATTATTAATATTTCATAAGGTAGGAAATCTAAATTTTGTGAATACTCGATCGAAATTCCTAACTGTCCGCTTCATTATGTTTCATTTATTTCTTCTCGTTTTCTATACACTTAAAAAATATGTTTACCAACTAAGGATAAAGGAGTATTAAAAAATACACCTATATGCTTTAATTCTGTAATCAGAAAATGAAATCAAAGTTGATCAGATATTTCTGTACGCCGGTATATAAATACAAAACAATCACATATTCTTTCAAGATAGTTTGAATATCAACATGAGAAGAGTATTTGTTATTAGGATTTTAAGTCTTCTAATTCCCAAGGTTATTTCATCATCGTAAAAGATGTAGTCAAGTTTCAGATGTTTGAACTGTTTCCAAAATTAATAATTTGAAAAATGCCTGGGTTTTGGATTAAAGATATTCATCATTTTATAGTTTTCACTTCCTCGATGAATAAAACAAAACAGAACTGGTTATAGTGACGTTTTTTAATTAATCCTAATAGGGATATCAAACCTAATATAGTGAAAATCAATCAAAGATCTTCAATAATTTTGAAAGTTGATGAATACGTGCTTAACTTCAATTTTTGAGTGACTAATGCATAAACTGTGATTTCTGTGTGTACATTTAAGAGTATTCCTTCTAATAAATACTAGTAAAATTAGGTTAAGCTAAATCAGTGTGCTTTAAATTCTGTCATACTCATCTGAGTATTTCATTTTATCCGGCTATAAAACATTTGCGATTATTTTTAAAAACCCAATGATGACATAACCGAAGTGGTAACCTGACACTATAAGAAACAGACTTGTTGATAGAGACTCTCAGTTTTGTGCGTTATACTGCATTTCATAGTGGACTGACAGATTCTCTGTAGCGTTCATTCAATCTGACGATTATTTCAGAAGAGATCTGTCCTATGCATACCTAACTGACTGACTGACTGCTTTCAGCGTGGAAATTTGCACACATGGGCAGCTATTCAAGTTGCCACACTCCTACACACACCGCCTTGACGTTTTTCATTCTCTTTTATAAATGGAGGAAATAGCTTGACAAATATAGTACCTATAATATTAGGATTCACCTTCTTAATCAAAATGAGAAAGGTTCAGTAAAAACAAACTCAAGAAAACCAAGATGAGTGAGCAGTGACCACATCTTCAAGCTTCGATCGGTTCTGAAACACAGCCATACTTACTGTAGTCTAACATCTGCTATGCATGGCAGATAAACATGTTTATCGATATAAAGGCAGAATTTCATTCCTTCGATTGATGCCCACAGTGATAATGACTGGCTGTGAGAGGAATATTTGGGCAGTATATCGTAATAATCGGAGCGCTCCGACAAAACTACTTCAGTCGTGTAAGAGCTTATAGAGAATTATGGATGTATTAAGGGAGTTGACCCTTGCCAACTTCGATTCTGTCGGTACAGAAGAGTCGTCGATCCAGGTTATACAGATGATATTGCCTTCCAAATGAATACGATGGCAAAACTCAGAGTCTTTGGTATATCCTGAGTTTAGGTCTATAAGTCTTTGGCATGCAACCTGACTCTCTCAAGTGTAAGATGATGCTCCAAGAGTGTCCTATACTAACTTCATTTTTAAGCACATCAAGTGAAATGGTAGGGTGAGAATACTACTTCACTTGTTTAAAATGTGGCTTCGACTGTTTGTTGGAGGAACCTCGTTTGGTGTTTGCACATGCATTTTGCGCAGATGGGATATCCGACTACCCACAATAAGAAGTGTGTACTGTACGGAAGTTCTCTTAGTCTGACTTCGCTGCTAAGAAATGACGATTGGGGATGAAAAATATGAAAATATTAGTAGAGTTTACTGTGAGTTCCTGAGTTTAGTCTTTCATGATGAGTTTAGCGAAATAGTAAGTATCAATGAGGACAGTTACAGAACGATCGATATAGAGAGTGAGTCTGTTAAGAAGCTTATGAAGTTTTTTGAACCAATCGGTTACATGACAAATGCCAATAAATATGTTCTTCCAGGAACAATTCAGTAACTAGCTGGTAAATTCCATTCGTAAAAAAAGGGAGTACCCTCTACCGCAACCGGAAAGGTACTCCAAAAATACGGTTTATGACACGTTTACACAAACCGGACAAAATCTGTGAGGTTCTGACTAACCGAAATTTTATAACTGTTTCTTAATATGCTATGAATTTCAAAGAGCCTGTAAGCTTCGTAGTTTACTTTTGTTTCTTAATTAAACGTTGTTGTGACAATAAAAATGCATGTGGGTTTTCTAAACTCTTAGCACAACTTCATGAATTCTTAAGTGACAGGCGTTGAAATGTTTTCATACAAATATAGCGTACCCAGTGCAGATGAGATAAATGCTTGAAAATTGTCCTTCAACAGTGTAAGTATAAGAACTGAAAACTCATAGTCAAGAAAGAGCCCGCAATAAATACTAACATATTACTCTATCAAATATGCAAATTCAAGTAACTAAAAATTATTTTTATGTTGGCTGACTGAAACAAAGTCTAGGTCTGATGTTATGTGGAAAGATGTCACAATTGCAATCAAAACGGTATTTCGACACGAGAACGATGATTTAGACTATATGTAAAAGTGCCTGGGTCAAATTTCTGATTCAAAACTTCGAAAGGAAACTTATATTTTCGAAATGATTATAAGTATTTCGCTTATATGATGCATACTTAATGACTATCTTTTACCCAATTTAACTGCGTTCCAGGTCTTTCAAAAATTATTAGTCATCTATTTCTGATACGTGTATGCACATTCCTTTTTTATTTAATATCTGGCAATTCGCTTGATTTTAAAAGACTTGATTTACATTATAAAGTAGCGTTTTCTAGTTGAAGCGAACCCAGCTATTAAGTTAAGGACAGATCACTTATACACAGTTGAGGAATTTAAGGTATGGTAGTTTACAGCACGTGGAGTGAATACATGTTTAATCTTAATAACCATTTTATTTAGGTGAGTAATGATTATATTTTGCCTTAGTGTACATAGTCTCCTGAATAACTCAGGTCTAAGTTCAGTTTCATCCGGAATATGTTATCCTTAGATAACGAAGCAAGCCAAAAACTCATACGGCAATAAAAAAGCTTATAAGATCTCTCCATTTCCGCTACAGTTTAGACTTATCTATATGAGGATTTTGGTAGAAAGTCTAAAGATTGGCATAACATACAAGCAGTTAGAAACTTCTAGTTTTTCTCGATATTTTACAAGTTTATAAAGATAGCAAACTAATAAAAGTAAGGCTACCGCAACTCATACCATGAGAAAACCTGTGGTTCTTTTGAGTTCCGCAAATGTTACTATGAATATTTATATCATTTGAGGTCACCAAGTCAATCAAATTGACCAAGAAACTAGGCCTAGTCTTCATAACAAGATACTAGAGTTTAGTTGGTGAATTTAACGAGCATGGTTACCTAACTACTAGAACAATAAGTGACGCTTTTATTCAGCATACCGAAGGAAATGCGTATTTCCCTAATGAGTATGGTTTAAGGATCGGTTGTTTCCACATGGTTAACATTATAGGAATACTGGAAGCTAGGTAGAACAATCTGATATCTAAAGTACCTATCAGAAATGCTAGAACGAGTTTACATAGTGAGGAATAAAATGGAAGGCTGAATTATAAACCTGTACTGTGAAGAGTGGCCTAAATGACTTGATGTAAATCGACGGTAATATTAGTATGTCGTATCCCGAATGACAGTGCCAGTACGAATTTGTCACAATCATTCCTTAACTTCAGAGCTGACCCTTCTCTTAAAACCTAATAGTCATGGCAGAACCATAAATTTTACATGTCTCTTTATGCAATAATTTACTGAGCAGTAGGTTTATTCGTCTTTTTACCATTCGGTAGAGCCTAAGAAGCAAAGCTAAAACTCAATCAAACATCAAGTATAGGAGATTTTCATGAGCTTTCCCAGTCGAAGACTGCACATCAGAGGAGTCAAGAAAACGTGAAAAGAATAGCAATTTTAATGGGTGAGATATGAGGAAAAAGCGGGTAAAACCAGACATAAGATAGTCAATTTTCCCAGCTCACCCATGCTGCTTGCCACTTTTCTCGCATTACCCATTTCGTTTCCAAAAACACCCCACTGTTTTCGACCTAACCCAATTAATAAAGGAAAGTTTCCCACTTTTTCAACCACTCTATCCATGGTCACGAAACATTTCTCCAGCTGGGTGGAGATTACCTGTTTACATAAAGCCCATTAATCTGCATCATATTAGACGGTCAATGAAAGAACTAATTTGAAACTAAAACGCACAGTATTTGGACAGTGTAATTCCTGAACCATTCGAGTCCTAATGATATCTGCACATTTACTCACGATTCATTTTGTAGCATTCCTGATATTCATGCACCGCCATGCCAGATAACCATTTAAAATTTTAAAATCATAAAGACCAAGTTTTTACGTAAGAATAGTCTGTACTCACTTCTGCAATACGAGCAAGTAACTTGTCAGCTTCGTCAGCTTCAGCACTCAGAACCGACTGCACAACTAGTTTAAATGAAGACATTGAGATCAATTTATTTTTCATTTACTTCGCGCGTTTCTCCGAATCTTGTATCCAATTACTTCCAAAATAACTTCAATTATGACATTAATAATAACAGAAATAATGAAAATTGACGAATATATATGGGAAGAACAGAAGCGAACTCCTAAGCTCGGCATCTGAAAGCCAATCATAATCGTTGGTATGGCAAGCATTTGGGACAAAATTCCTGCGACTTGATGAATATACTTAGCAAAAGCTCGAGGGCGACCAGTGGATGTACAAAGGAACCATGCAACAATAGGCTGGAATATACGATAATCTTATCTGCACTTACATTTGAAAATGTCAGAGCGATGACAGTGAATCCACATGGGGGATGAGCACTGAGAGGGAGCTCACTTAACATGGAATATCCCATTACATGAACAACAATGATCATAAGTGCCAACAAGACGAATGACAGAGTGAATGACTGTAAGATGACATGGAATTGGAACCAATACGCCAAGTTATTAATTGTACGCCCTGGCCAACCTTTTTTGAAATGTCTTGAGATTATTATCGCATTCGGATTGCAGAAGCCCCACGCGAGAATCATGAGGCACGCGTGAGCTTCACATCGAGAGACACGCTTTTACTTAAAAAAGTGACAAATCTCATATTTGAATTTACTCTGGATAATAATAACTGCCGTAAGGACCCCCAAAGCATCTACTGGAGAAATTCATTCGACACCGACTTTTTTGAGCTTTTCGAATAGGTGTGTCAACAACTTCGTGACCTTCAAGGCTATTCGATATTCAGTTTCCTTGTTTATCAATCTAAACCAAAGTGACTAAAATTATCTCAAATGTTCCAGGTAATCAGTAACATATTAATGTCTCATTATTGTTGCACTCATTTGTTCTTTGACTGTTATAAGATCTGGAGGACGTCAGTTTTATGAAAGAGTTATGTGAGATTTGTGACGAGTGCTGATTAGCGCACTGCCACCCTCAGTCATCACTCAATCTTTTTCGAAATAGTGTAAAACATGATGGACGAAAAGTATGGAAAAATTATAAGTGACTTATAATAACAACAGCTGTTTTTTGAATATAGTAAATGACTGATACCAGTATTTATTCAGAAAGCATTTTTAAAATTTTACAAACTCTTACTTGACGTCATCATTAGATGATGGCAAATCAGAGAAGTTAGACACTTCTGGCACGACTTGTCAGTGTACTAAAACTACAGCAATTTAGTGAGCTACCATATGATAGCCGCTACCAATACCATCCCCTTGGTAAACCTGATCTAATTAGACTATGAATATAAGCCAACTATAACTTATACATTGAATTCCTGTGTGGCAAGTCCAGCTGTCTAGAAATACTGGGAGAGCTTCACATGTTACTTTTCTAGCGGCATCCTCCTCACTTTATCAAATAAATAAGGTTTGTTAGTCCACTACGCAACTGCTGTGAGCCAAATAAGGGAAATTTCAAGACTACATGTAGGGCGTTTTCATATACTTTATCAGTACCCTGTTCTTATTCCACTGCACTTTCATGTATTGTTTCTTCTCATTGTCGCTTAACAATAACCAACATCAGGTGTTGGTATGACAGTTGACTCTCTTCCTAATAAGCGCAATACTACACCATAACCTGAAGTGGCTAGGGCTTCAGTTAGTGAAGGTAACAAACCGGAGTAATTAACGCCTTCCCGCATGCTAGTTCCATGGACCCAAGCACATGTCCCTATTCCTATTAACATTCATATGTCGTTGAACTTCAAAAACGAAACTACACATGGATTGTCGGTAAACCTGTTTCCAAACCATGTGTATCAATATACTCACATAAATAGCTAACAGTTTCCATGAGAGGAACATTGGTAAGTAGCGACGTCACATCTAATGAGAACAAGACTTTGTCTGAGACATTAAAATCTTTAATACTATCAATAAATTTAAACGTACCATCAATTGAAAACTTAGGTACTTGCCTTCTGACTGGTTCCAATATTTCGGCTAGCCATTGAGCGATTCCGTGATAAGGAGGGCCCGCCATATCGAGGATTGGACGGAGGGGTAATCCTGTCTTATGTATTTTCGGTAGTCCATACAAACGTGGTATAATGGAGCCTACTGGTCGGATGCGAAGGCCTTGGCAATTCATGACTTTAAGCCAGACCGTTGTTTACAAAAGAGGCATGTACAATCCCTACTGCTGCCTTGGCCGTAGAGGGATAGATATTTATTTATTTAGTTATTCTATGTACTTTTCCCTTATTACTTTGATTATTATTATTATTATTATTATCATTATCATTATCATCATTATTATTACGACTCATTCTGAATCTCTTCCACTTGACCTACTTGACATTTTAAACCAAAAATTATTCATGTGTATACTTTTTACCTTTATTTTTACAATATTAAATTCTATGTTATCAAATTACACACCATGTTACGTAACATTTTATATTCGTCCATTAATCCTATAATTATATGCCTCTCCCCAAAATCTATACACCTGATGTATTATCTTATATATGACATTATTGTTTCACTTGACTTAAACTATGAACCTAATCACAAATATTTTAAATTTATTTCATACTATTATTATTTCATGTATTTACACCTTTGACCTAATTCCCTCACCGGATATAATTTCTTTATAAAACCATATATATACGATTGTACAGCTTGATAATAAATTCGTTGAAAGGAGTCTCTTCATTGAAAATCGTGTTCTCAATGCTACAATGGGAATTATTAAATTACTGAAAAAATGCAAAGACCCAATGACGATGAAGGAACTTAATGGTTTCCTACGGTATTCTGTCTTCCCACTTTGTCACCGCTAACACCGTCTCACGTTTTCACCGGAATATACACACAAGACACCACGAAGGTATTTGAGATCTCCAAACAAGATGCTCTGGCCCATCTGGCTTGGTGTATAAATGCAAAGAAAGTGAAGACACCCGACACAAAATCAACGTTTTCTTATTCTTGTAAACTGCGTGAAAACATTGGTGTGAACATGTCAATTTCGCACTGCAGAGATCGCCTGCATCGGCTTTTCTTGGAGAGCAAACACAAAGCAATAATACCCGGAGTCGGATAAGCCTACTTATCTTAGAATGTAAACAAGCAACTAAGGACTGAACCTTTTGTGGGGATAGCCTATCAAACCATTCCAAGCTGTTCAACGCACCTTTGAGCAAAAGTAGTGAACACAAAGTACTATTCTGTCAGAAATAGTTATCCAATTTGTGCGGAAATTGATATTCAGCTTGCAACACTGTGTGGACTTAACAATTGTGCCCAGTTACGTCAAGGTAAACTACAGTGGGCTTTGCTTAAAACGCTCAGAATGTATCACTGCTCTCCCAATTTCTGGCGAAAAGAAAAGCTTCAGTATGCAATAAGACCTAATACACCTGGGGAAGTCAGGAGTACGGCAAAGTAATCATGGGAACTAATGCTTTGCGCCCGGAAGGTCAGGCTCTGTGTTTCAGAACTGGAGACACACACTGCTCACGAGGAACACACGTTTTAAGTACAGCGATGAGAATTCTCGCTATCTCAAATGGCCCTTCGTATTTCTGAAGCGATTCATGCCAGTAGATTTCCTGGCCCTACTCACCTCAAATCAGCCAGCTCACTATGGCCGCTAAATTTTGGGCTCATCCCTCAGGGGCGACTGCTCACGGCGCCCCAACTGTGTTGTGGGACCAAGGATAGTTTTGGTGAATATATTCGACGCTCCAAAATCCGAATTCGAACCCTAACGTAGCAGCAATCTCAGGTTACGAAGCATCATTTTACGACCGCACTTTGACGTCAAAATAATGCTAACAGACACCTGACTAACTGCTACTACAGCCAGTGAGAAAGTCAGCGATATAGTTCTGGTTAAGCAATAAAAAGGTCACATGGAAGAGAACGGAGCTACCTCATACACTGACAAGCAAATAGGATATTTAGGAGAGGCGGGCCCACCAATCACTGAACTCCAGGGCTCGTTATAGTAACATTTCAACAAGCGTCTGCTGGGCAGCATCCATCGACAACTCTCCTGTGGAGCAGAACACAACTAGATATCACCCACAATTATACGAAACCTGGGCTCTGACAAAATACCTAGGGCCAGAAACTTCAATGCTCCCTTGGGTCTGAAGGTACTGAGGTAAAATAAGATCAAAATCTTCTACATACCTTCAGAAACTCCGGATTGACTGAGGACTTTGGAGAAGACGCTGGTGGGTAGTCACTGAAGCTGCAGTACATGCCAACTAGTGACCAGCTACCGGTGGAAAGCGTTCAGATGACGACCGATTCAGCTCAAAGTTTTTTGTCTAGTCCTCTGCGAGCGCTTCCGACGGAGCGCCACGTAACCATGTCTGTGCTACGGTAGGGCTACACCAAATTGTGAAGGTTTTGTCTCACACACAGCTGTACACAGACTAAACTGATCTGTTAGTGGAGAAGTAACTGAGCATACCAAACATAGCATTCACACAGCAACCCCAGCTGCCGTTAACCTGGTCACGCTACAGACTAAGAAGGAATTCTCATGGCTAAAAGGAGGTGCACAGTGCAATCTGTAAGGAAAGAGTAAAACCTCGTTCACGCGATGATTCTCCAATAGTCAAACTGACCATGAGTGATATCTGGAACTCGGAGACCAATGCACCACGATGGAGTGACAGAGTGCCAGTCAGAGACCTTTCCAGAAGACTCCTGGTAAACCACAAAAGCCTTTACCCAACCATTATTGAAAGGAGACTCACCAACAAAGTCGTCCGTATACCAATTTTTTTGGAAATGGTGAAAATACCAACTACGGCCTTCGACAATCACCAAAACAATTTCGTGGGTATTACAGAAGGTGCGCAACGAAGTTGCGAAGCGAAAAATCCACACTGCTACTCTCAAAGCTCACATGATATGACTTGATATGATTACACGCAACAAATTGTGTTTGAAACGTCATCAGTTAATATAACCGTATTACACTGTGTGATTTATAAAAATAAAATCTTATCTATATTGAAGTTATACACTACCACAGTATCCGAGTTTTATACTTATATCAATGATCCCCCCACATAATAAGTCGGCCATGTATTGCAGAACCACTTTTCCCATGGTTGGAGGACTATCTAGACGGGAGTAATTCTGAACAAAAGCCAATCATGTCTGATCATCCAAAACAAGGTTTTGTCTTAGGGACCATGATGTTGCTGAATTCTATCAACGACCTGCTATACGGTCTCAACTGCCAGTCTCCGTTTTACACGGACGGCGTAAATATTTGAGGAGCAATAAGATTTTTTATTTTTTATTTTCTTGATTACAGCTTGATTCCACACCGTATTTTTGGTACAAGTGTGGAATTTTCAGCATGGATGTCGGTAGCCCAAACTTCGCAGCCGACCATAGATATCAGGTGTGCGTCGGCGTGGGCTCGAAACCCGGACCATGTGCATGGTCGCGAGAGTCCTAATCATTGTGCCACCGACGCACGAAGTGCCTGAAAGACTCAGACGCGTAGCATGAAAGGCCGGATACTCTGGAAAATGGATATCACTAAGTGACAACAATCTGCCCTGCACAAGGCAGAGTGCGACCTTAATTTCACATCAATGAATACAAGACTCTGCTACATGTGTGATGCGGTGATGTAGGTGTGATTACCATTGGGCTTCTTAAATTGTGTACAATATACTTATGATTGAGCTGTGATGTGTACAACACCACTACTCCCGGGTGACCTGAAACGAACACACATTGTCAGCCACGTCTCGTAAACCGTTAATGCCCAGCTCTTGCTACGCTC